CAGACGTCCCGATTTTTAACAATTTTTCCTGCGTCCCGCGCCATTTTTAGAAAGTCCTGATTTTTGGAAAGAATGCACAAGCTAGGGTATATGGTTTTTGGCTGCCATGTGGCTATTTTGCCAGGATATGAGTTTTATCAATGGTGTCCCGCTTTACCAATGTTAAAATCTGGTCACCTTATCTTAAATGCAACTGGGACTTATTTCAAGCCAAAATATATTTTGATTTTGAGGAAGGCTTTCAGAACCAGTTTGAAATATGAGCTCCTGTGTCTCCTTAATGGTCTAAAATACACGCAGAAAGAGCCTGGATCATATCCGTGTGGAGCTCCTGTAATGACAAGGTTTGCTTTAAGGTAACTTTCAGAGTCATGTAAACACAAATCATAGGTACCATAAACACAGTGGTGGAGATCGGTAGCTCATCTGGCCTTTCACTTGTGTTTCTCAATAAACACAGATCAGGAATGTGTGTGAAATCAGCCACAGGAGGTCCATGTTTACAATTTTGCTTTGAAGCGGCGGGGACCCCCCAATCTAGTCCTTAGGCCGAGGGAGCCGTTCAATGGCTCCAGGAAGAGAAGCAGATGGCGTGATTATTGAATCACAACAGCCCCAGATTTAGAGCATGGCTGCCATTCCCCGATCTCTGAGGACACTTCCAGAGCTTGTGATTATAGGTCAGGGCAAGGAGCCACCAAGCACCTTTCTGAGCACGGCTCAGCTAATGGCCTTCCACCAGAACCTTCCCGTGCAGCCTTGCGGTCACTGAGAACTGTTGGAGAGATCCCATGGGTGACGGGGATAAGGCGTCTATCAGCAGGGGTTTGATTCCCCAGCCTTTACTCAAGAGCACCAATCTTCCCCAGCCTTTACTCAAGAGCACCAATCTGAGGCCATAGGCCACAGCGGTTAAGTACAGGAAACGTGCAGCCTGGATGAGTTCATTAGGCTCTCGGCCTCAGTCCTCCATCCTGAAACTGGGCAGAGCTGTGTTAGCATGCACCTGGTGCTGTCTCACTCACTCAGTGAGCCCAAGGCTACCATCTCTATGGAGGCCGACTTCCACACCGGTCCCTTGCCGAGCAACTGGTGGACCTGAACTGATCACCTTTCAGTTAGCAGCCCAGCACTTTACGCACTGCTGTTTGATCCTAACCTAAGACATCAAAGAGTGACTTCAACAACACGCGAACTGCATCAGTCTCTCCCAGTCATACTAACAATCAAATCCGAGGTTCTTAAAACCAAATAACGATCTTCCTGATATACCCTCAAAGCTCAAGAACTCTGGTCTCAAGTGACCTTCTGGGGCAAACGAATTAAACATCACCTGACTGACTTATTAAGCAGTTTCATGAGTCTCATTCAGTAATCCTTTTACATTTCTGCTTTCTGAGAATGCTGTTTTCCACTCACTGACCAAGCCCTAGCATGATCCTGCTCTGACACGCGCACACCTTCCAGGCCAGCCTTTGATACGTCTGCTTCTATTAGTTCTGTGTCGAGGAAAGGTGTGGAGGAAGGTCTCCCACCAGCATTTCACGCCATTAGCTTGACAATGTCTACATTTTCTGTGCATGTCACCTAGTTACGGAAATATCCGTTTGGCAGACTTTAAGACAACTGATTGATTTATTTTCAAATAACCCAAGCCCTCTAGTATCTCAGTTTATACTCACATGAGCACCTTTCAGTTCACCTTCACAAATCGGTCCCTGGTCAGTGGCCTTCTGGGAAGAAAGGAGGGGTCTCCAAGGCTCCCTCATCTTCAAGGAAGCAGAGTTCCACCGCTCTCTCCCTCTGTGCAGGGGGTGGGTTCAAACTGCTGGCCTCAGCGAGCCGCTGAGCGCTCACTGCCACCACGGCTCCTAATCACCCATGACTAATCACAGGGAGTAAGGTTATCTGGAAAGAGGTGTTTTGACGGAGGAAGAAAGCTTCCTTTTGCCCCACACTAGAAATTAAAGCAATTCAAAGGCGTTAACAGATGTGGTTTGAGAGAGAAAGGAGAGGGGCAGCCAAGAGAGGAAGGTACTGACAAGACAGCTCGACACAATGGGCTTGAACAGACAACACTCGTGAGCGGTGCAGGAGCGGGCAGTGTCTCCTCCTGCTGAGCTGACGCAAGGGCACCTTAATAACCAGACACCGGTTTGGGCAATAAAGCAGTAAATATACTAAACCCAGAAGGTGACTGTTTGCCCTGCATCACCTTCCACACTAAACACTGAGCTATGTAATCTGGAAGGCAGGCAGCATTCTGGGTGATACGGGACTAACTTTAGCATTATCTATCGTCCCTGAGTCAAAGAATGGTTAAAGATCCATCATCAAGCTGTAAACCACAACAGCTGGGTCCAAAGTACGATGGCACCGTGGGGGTGGGGGGTGGGAGAAGATTTGGGACAAAAGGGTAGGGTCTTTTTTTTTTAATCATTTTATTGGGGCTCGTACAACTATCACAATCCATAAATCCATCCATTGTGTCAAGCACATTTGTTTTGTTGCCATCATCCTCAAAACATTTGCTTTCTAGTTGAGCCGTTGGTATCAGCTCATCCTCGCCCCCCCAGCCCCATGAACCCGATAATTTATAAATTATTGTCATATTTTACACTGTCCGATGTCTCCCTTCACCCATTTTTCTGTTGTCTGTCCCCCAGGGAGGGGGTTATATGTAGATCCTTATAGGTTCCCCCTTTCTACCAAACCTTCCCTCCACCCTCCCGATATCACCACTCTCACCACTGGTCCTGAGGGGTTCATCAAACTCCTGTTTCCAGTTCCTATCTGTACTAGTGTACATCCTCCAGTCTAGCTAGATTTATAAGGTAGTCTTGGGATCATAATGGGGGGGAAGAGGAAGCATTAAAGAACTAGAGGAAAGTTATATATTTCACTGGTGTTGTACTGCAACCTGCCTGGTTTGTCTCCTCCCTGCTCTCTTTCCATAAGGGGTTGTCCAGTTGCCTACAGATGGGCTTTGGGTCCCCAATCGGCACTCCCCCTCATTTACAATGATATTTTTTCTTCTTTGATGCCTAATACCTCATCCCTTCGACACCTCGTGATCACAAAGGTTGGTGTGCTTCTTCCATGTGGGCTTTGTTGCTTCTGCGCTAGATGGCCGCTTGTTTACCTTCAAGTCTTTAAGATCCAAGATGCTATTATCTTTTGATAGCTGGGCACCATCAGTTTCCTTTACATTTGCTTATGCACCCGCGATTATGTCAGGAAAGTGAGCATCACGGAATGCCAGTGTAATAGTGTTGTGTTGAGGGAGCACTTGAGTAGAGGCCCAATGTCTATCTGCTACCTTAATACTAAACCTATAAATATATGTATGTAGATCTATTTCAAGGGTAAGGTCTTCTAAGCTTTTCTAAGATTTGCTCGGGAAAAGTATCCCCCTCCCCCTCACCCCTTTTTCATTTCTAATGAGCAAGAGGGGAAAAAAGGCATGAGAACAGACCCTTTGCTTAGTGCTGCTTTAAAAGAGGTGTTTAATGTCCTCATTGATGCAAGCTGAAATCAACCAAGGTAAAATGTTAACTTAGGTAATCTTTCTCAAGGGCCAAACCAATGCATGTATCCAGATGAAATTTCCCTAACTCTTGTCTCTACAAGTACCTTTAACAACCCCCAATATTCCTATCTGCATCCAAATCAGTAGTCTTGAGTATTTTTAAGCGTACAATGTTCTGTTGCAAATGTCTGTACATACAAGCCAGTTCAATAGTCTGACTTTCAAAAGCAGTAGGTTCATCAAAGCCTTCCTTTATCAAGTCTGTTTTCCTCCAAGTTAAACCTGAGCTCTGGCCACCAAAAACATCTTCAGCAAACACCTAACACTTCAAACCACTACTCTGGTGGTTCTCTTACAGCTATCCAAACCGTGATCACAAAAGCTCCTAATTGCTCATGTTGGCAGGGAGGCCTCTCAGGGAGGCCTCTGCCGGCTCCCCGCCTCCAGTGCTTCTTCATAGCCTCGATCTGTCCACGGAAGGACAGGCCTCACCAGGGTGCTCGCGGAACAGCTTAGCTCCGTTGTGTCCAATGCCTGTTTCCTTACAACTTTTTATTGCTCTAAACTGCATGGGTAAGAGACAAAAGGCTTTTGTAGCCTGCTGTCCAAAGAACTCATTTGAGACCAAATTGATTCCCAAGGGTAACCCAGGCCATGCTGGTTTCTTACTATAAAAGTTGAGAAAGTTTTTTCTTCTAATTTCCTCACCAATACTATGTTCACACCATACCGATAAGCATTAAAACAGCAAAATGACTCATTCTTACTTAAATTCACATAGCTTCACATCTTCAAACTGCCAAACCAGCTCACTGGATACCCATTTGCCCCTCCCCCACCTCCAAAAAAGCTGGTGACTTTTTTGGTGGGGAAAAAAACCAAACACATACTAAACATTTACAGCCTGTCCAACATTGAATAAATCTTGATCCAGTGTCCTTCAGCTGAAGTGACTGAACTATGAGCATAAGGATTAGTAAACAAGCCCTAATCTTCTAAGTCAGCTACTTTGTCCAAGAGCAAGTTTTCTGAATGTCCCATGCGGGAACAGGAAACGGAGCCAATGGTTTCTCTGCTCCACATACCTTTCAAATACACCCTCTCAGATTGCAGGGTGAGTTTCATTATCACCTGACCCCCCTAGATGACAGCATGGCACCATACTTCAAAATATGATATAAAATAGTCCTGAATAGCCTTAGCATGCCACCCCTATTCTGGGGAGAATAAACTTGGACCGATGAGAATTGTGAAAAAATAAGTTATCCCAAGCATTGGTGAGGCTATGATGTAATTTGATGGGGCAAAACGCTGTGTGTGGCAAACCGCTATTTGGTGCTCTACAGAACAATTGCTTTCCACTATTCCTTGTGATTCTGAGTCAGACCTTTCTGCATCATTAGCATTTACAATACAGTATCTGCAGAGGAGGAACTTCTGCACAGGCTTAAAAACAAAGATCACACAGGCATTTCTAATTTTAAAGAATTTTAATACAAACTTAATATAAACTATTTCAGTCCCTCAACATATAAGACACTGACTCAAAATACTTTTATACTGTTTTTTTTCAAGTATTGCACAATATAGGTACAAAATTAATATTTACGATTACATTTTCTTCCATAATATATAGCAAAAATCTTTAAACCTTAACAGAAAATACATTTTTTTTGAAAAAAGGAAATATTCGTACAATTTAATTCCACCACTAAAGGAATATCCTGTACACAATTTTTATTATAGTTGATGTCTTTAAGATGGATATTTTACAATTTCAGTAAAAAAAATACAACATGAAGCTGCTGCTGCCACAGACCACTGTAGTAAAAAGATATAAATGCAATACCGTGTCGTAGAAACAATATATATATATCCTCTGGTATTTTACAAACTTTGTACTAAATTAAATTATACAATTAGAAAAAGACCAATAAACCCACTTATTAGTGCCAATTATATATATATATATTAAAAAAAACCCAGCCATGTCTTTGCTCTATCTTAAATACTGTAATAGGGCGTATCTGACAGTATACTTTAAAATATACAATCAGTATAAAATAACTTTGTGCTTGGTTGGCAAATGAAAAATGATGCATGTTTTATTTTTGTAACCAAGCTTGAATGTATCCTATTAGCTTAAAAGAAAAAAAAAATTTTTCCAAAGGGGGGGGGCAATTAAAAAAAAACAAAAAAAAACCCAACCACCACCCCTCGACCGTGCATTTGAACTTAAGACAATTTTTTTTAGTTAGCCATAACAGGCTGGAATTGCTGGTTAGAATACTGCATGTTATTTAAACTAAAATTCAAGCCATCTACAAAAGACTTCTCGTTGAGGCCGCCATAGGCGGCGAACACATCAAAGGCATTGCTGTACTGGAGAGGACTGAGGTTTAGGGGGCTGTCAGCTGGGAACATTCCATTGGTACTACTACCTTGACCCTGCATATTAGGAAAAATAAATTCCTTGGCATTAGGAGAAAGAGCAGAGGTTTTCTGCTGGGGCTGGGGCTGCAGCGGCGGCTGGGCCGGCTGGGGCTGCTGTGGCAGCGGCTGCTGGCCCCCGAGGCCCAGCCCGTACAGAGAGTGCACTGAGGGAGAAATGGCTTTCTGCTTCAAGAGGTCGCTGACATTCAAGCCGAGGTGGATCGGAGACGTGCGCGTGACCTTGTTGCTCCGGCCACTGTTCTTCATTTTGGTGGAGCCGAACTTGGTGGCAGCAAAAGTGGCAGTGGTGAAGGTTAAAGGCTGAGTGGACCGGGGCATGAAGGTGGGGCTGACCGCAGCAGAGTGGCCAAAGGGAGGCGATGGCGAGCTGGACACAGACGAGGCTGGGTCACTGATGGGCATGAAAACCTGGGCCTCTGGGTTAAAGCTGTTTTTGATCTCCTTATCCAACTCACAGCCATTTTCATTATTATCATCCACGTAAAGCACCTTCACTGGTCCCTTGTCACCGATCTGGTAGGAAACTTCAAACGGGTCAATCCAAACACTGAGATCCTGGGGCAGGTTGCCACGGACATCATCAATGTCCAAACCACTCTCTTTGGACGCTTGTTCGATCACGGGGTCCACCTTCTCCCCTATATGTATACATCTAAACCCTGATCCTTTGTATGGCTTCTCAGGATACCAGTGCCCTTCATATTTCTTCTTTAGAAGTCTTTCAAGCTCTTCACCGAAAATGTTGACACGTCTCCTGGGAAGCTTATTGTACAGATAGGAAATAATAAAATTTAGTGCTACTTGAATTTCAAGCTGCATAGCTGCTGTGCCACAAAGTTAGGTGTTTCAACTCCCCCGCCAAGAAAATAAAAATAAAATAAGTGTTCAGTGTGTGGCAGAGAAACAAATGTTGTTCATTCAGAGTGCTGGTATCAGTAGTGTGTTCTTCACCTTGAGTGGTCTTGTTCCTTAAAGAAAAACAAAACAAAACAAAAGCAAACATGTCCGAATAAGATAAATGTAAGTGACAAGGTTTTCTTGCCCCCAGAGTAATGTCACTTTTGGAAACACCCTACTAGCTTAGAAAGTCTGAAAAGTAAATGAAGGGTAGCCAACAGAACGTTATTTATTCAAATGCAAAGCCTCCCAGAAAAGCAGGATGTATACACTGTTACTGTTTAAGCCCAATTACTGTTTCTAAAGAACAGTTCTCAACAAAACAAAACGCCATATCTGTAGAGTATGATTTCTTTTTCTTCCTACAATGACACGAGTAGTCACTGGAAGCTATTCTTAGTATACTCGTGTGCCAGTTCGAGAAGTTGGTCATAAAATTGTGATTTCCGTTCATCAATCGAGAAGATCGCTTATATCCCATCCCAATTGATTTGGGACCTACAGCTGAAATCTGCTTTATCATGAAATTTGCTTTATTTAAAAATTTGAGCAGTTAGAACATTTTAAATTTCAAAGCACACGATGCTACAATGAAAAGTACTATAAAAAAAAGTACTATAAAGATGAAGTGAATTGTCATCCTGACGGATAATTCTGAACCAAATTATCCTATAATCCTATAGAACTGCAGTTTTAAAATAAACTGAAAGCTAAATGATCTAGTTTGTGCCTTTTTTATGTACATTTTTTCAAATTCTGAAAATTTCCTGGGCAGCACGTCTGACAAAAGAATTACTATCAAAGCTCTATTGATTACCCACTTAGAAGGCAGGGTTTCTGAGCTTTATCCAGATTTTAAAAACCACCTCCCCTTCCAGCACGATAAGAGGACGACGAGAGGCTGGGATGATAAGCTCGACCTTTAAACGTTTGCTGGATCAGCAGTGGAAGAAAAGATCAAGGGCAAACAGAAGATGTTTGCAAAACGGATCTGTTTGTCCACGGAGGGTGATTAAACAGGGCCTTCAAAAAATCACGTTGGTATTATTCCATCTGCTCCATGTTCCACCTTGGTGATGACAAAGGAAAAGGAGCCCCTGCCCGCCTGCAAACACTTTCCAAGCCAGAGGCCGAGAGCCGGCCGGAGCAGATCCAGCCGAATCACTGGAAGGTGCACCCGAGCGAAAGGCAGGCCGGGTGGAAGCAACGCCTGCTGAAGATAGGGGTGCGAAGAGTTACATAAACAGCCGGTTGGGTCTCATTAGATTTCTGCTCACAGCCCTCGGGCTCGAGCGCTAGAGCAGCAGCAGCAGCAGCAGCAGCAG